ATGTATTCATTCATTCCTTGTACAAGGAAGAATCAAGCACATCAGCAGCATGAAAAGTGCCAAATCTGCGCTCTGCATTCACCAATACGTGATGTTCCCTTGTCATGTGCAGCTTTGAGTCACTGTTGGTGAACATTTGGGGCACGCTGGAGATGTGGAACCCACTTGCCAACATGCCAAAGTGGTCAATTGCTCGTTTGGTTGAAAACAGCCCAGCTACACTGTTCATGTTGGCAACTGCCAATGGTTCACCCAAATTGAGTTGCACATCAGACAGAAGTCCACCAACTAGGCCGACCAGCTTATTCCAAGGCTGGTGATGCGGCTGAATACACCACCTTTTATACTGAATGAAACAACACACCAGCCCTTCTCCAAGTCTTGAAATGCCCTGGGCACCACATTCAAAGCCACTGCATCACGACAAGCAAATAATAACAAGGTCAAGCTTGCGGAACTGTACATCCTAGAAGGCACAACAGACAGAGCATAGTGTGCATGCTGACAGTTTGGGCGAAGGCTCTCTTGGCGTTAGTACCAGCTAATGAGGCAACCAACAGGCACCAGCTGCATAGAGGGTGCCCCATACAAGGAAAAGAAAAGCTCCCTTTCAACACACGGGACGCTGATCGGCCACTCAGACTCCAGAGATGGCAACCATCCGGCCACCAGGAGGTCACCTCCGATAGCATCGACAGCCAACTATCGTGAGTGGCCCAACAACGCAACTCCGGCCCCTGCCCCGTTCACACCGGAACTCCCACGTGGCACGTCAGGGATCCATTTCGAAATGCCCGGAGCGCCAGCGTCCCGTGCTGCTCCCGGGCAACGATCGTGAGTGGCCGAACAGCGCTACACCTGCCCCGTTCACGCCGGAAGTCCACGTGACACGTCGCGGATTCATTTCGGAATGCCTGGAGCGCCAGCGTCCTGTGCCGCTCCCGGGCAACGATCGTGAGTGGCTGAGCAGCGCTACCCCTGCCGCTGGCCTATTCCCACGGAAAATCCCACTTGGGCACGTCGCGGATCCATTTCGGCATCCCTGGAACACCAGCGTACCGAGCTGAACCCGGCTTCGGCTTGAGCGTCGCGATCAAAGGAAGGATGCAGGCCTCGCACGCCTGCCGGTCAAAGTCAGTGCGGTTTACCTCGTTGCGGCGCCACCTCCTGTGTCCGCGGTTGTCGTCCACCCGCGTTGTTGCTTGGTCCGCGCACGCCTTGGCGTTCTTGGTATTGAACTTCAATACTTCAATACATGTACTGTTTCGGAAACAGTACATTCATGGTGGGTGTCTGTCAACGTTGCTGGCAACTGACATGTTGTGGTGCATTGCGGACCCTTGGTACAATCAGCTTTGATGCAGCATTGATGTGCGGCGGTGTTGATGCAACATTGGCCGCAAATGCATCAATCAGTCCTGATGTGACGTTGACATGCTGGGCCACTGATTCAACGTTGCAGCAACGTTGATAGGTGGTAGTGGGCCAGCAACATTGCCGCAATGTTGCCGAAAGACACCTTGCCGGGTCGTTGACGAACGCCGACATCTGTGAGCCGTTGCTCAGTAAGCCTTGCCTCAACATTGCTAGTCATTGCTTCAATGACCCCGTTGCATCAAGCCCAATCAACATTGCATCAACGCCTACCGATTTTCCAGATGTCTTCTTTGTGCACTGCTGTGGAAATATACAAAGGCGGAAGTGGCGTGGTGAATATCCCAGACAAGTTTGCTTTCCCCGCAACAAACATATCTCTCACAGCTAGCTTCTCCACGGCGACCACCAGATCTATCATATTTTCGACAACAAACCTTGGGAGGTGGACTTCCACGTCACGGAAGCCCGCGTTTTTCAGCAGGATTTCGACTGGATTGCGAAAAGCAGATGTATTTCTCAGACGGCCTTCCAGCTGCAAAAATGCTTTTTTGTCATCTGACAGAAAAATCACCATGCTTGACTTTCCTTCCTCATGTGGAAGCTCAAGAATGTGTCCACAGACCGAGAGAAAGCTGCATGAATATGCCGTTCTAAAATAAAGCACGCTTTCATGTGGCGTGCTTGCCCTGCCCTTCGAAGCGGGGAAGGCTAATGAACACAGAGCCAGTGCGTGGTGGTGCACGCAAACACAATTGAATATGACAATGTTGGTGGGGCTATCAGCGCGCCTGGGCGTTCTGGAAATTTGCCCAACTGTGTTGCTCACCGGCTCACAGGTCACAGGGTCGGCCACCAGCCTGTTTTCAAGCCAAACACAGGTGAAGGCCAATTTCGCAAATCGGGTCCGCAAGGCGTGCAGCGAAGCCAAGCCAATACGATTGGCTGGATGACGGTGGTCATATTGGCTAACTGGTCATGCGCTCCTTTGGACAAATGGTTGGCGGAATATCAGGCGCCACTTGGTCGCATCATTGAAGCACAGTCCCAGAATGCAGAGAATCAATCGGGGGGGGGGGGGGGTAATCACACCTTCGCTGTGCTCTGCTCACCTGGCACCGCAAACAGATCCGCAGGAGTGTGATTTTTTCATGCCTAACAAATGTGAAAGTCAAGAGTAATGTGCGCTGCGCTCCAGAACATGGCTTACGAGACGACGAGGCTCGGAGACAGAAGACACACGGCCCATCCTCAATCTTCTGCGGGGTAGCCTCATCATCTGCACAGACACATTGCCTCCGTTGAACGCATTGAAGGGCATCGAAACGGTGCCTTCCTCGTGGAAAGGGTACTCCCAGGCGCCCTGAAAGAACAAGGCGTTGACAACCACCATGACTGTGGACATGGCGACAGACCTCTTGGCCAGGATGTCGTCAACGTTGTCCTTTGTTGCGAAATTGTCACTGGCCCTGACTAGACCGATGCCACGCACTCCACCCTGCCTCTCGTGTCCCAACTGACCTCACGTGACCTCACCCGATACCCAGGGCCAGAGGCTGCTCCGGCCCATTTACCCGCTTCCCAACAGCCCCCTCCAAAACGACCCCGCCTTCCCCGCGGCCCCAGACACCGACTGGACGCACAGTCCCGGACGAGGACACACGAAAGCGGACTGGACACCAGTCGCTGGACTGGACTGGACTGGACTGACTGGAGAGGAGGTCCCATGGACCGCCCCTGCAACGCGCTGGAGTCGCATTTCGTATCGTGCAACGTGCGCTTCGCGGCGGCTGTCGCCATCCAACGCTGCCATCCCGATGCCGCGGGCGCCGCCCTGCGGTCCGGTCTCCTTGCCCACGTCGGCGGGTGGCTGCGCGCCGTTCGCGGCCCCCCGCACCGGTTGGCCCTGCGGGAACGGAGCGATGCGGATCGCATTCTAGTGCGGGCCCTGCGGACCCCGCTCGGGGAGTGCTGGCTGGCAAAGGCGCTGGAGGACGAGATTGCAGAAGACAGGGCTGCCGACGGGCCGATCGCGGCCACCCTGTTTGTTGTGAGCGTGGACCAGGGACAGGAGTGCGTGGGTGTGTGTCTTAACGCCAACCACGCGCTGGTGGATGGCCGTGCGATGGCGAGCATCGTGGACGGGGTCCTGCACGTGTTAAGGGACGGGGAGGGGGGAAATGGGGGCGGTCGGGGGCTGCCTGTGGGGACGGTGCCAGGGGATTGGGCGGAGGCAATCCAGGAGGGCGCGGGGGACGGCGGCCCGCCGTTCCTGCCCCTGCCTGCGGCCCCGGTCCAGCTGCGGGAGATTTCAGTCTTGATGGCCCAGGAGGTTGGCGCGAATACGCACATTCGCAGATCGGTGGATGGCGACGTCGTCAGGCGGGCCAGGGCGGCGGGCAGGGGCGCCGGCGCCACGGTCACTGGGCTGCTGGCGGCATGCTTTGCCCAAGCGATCGCGGATGCTTACCTGCGCACGCGAGAGGACGAGTCGGATTGCTGCGTCGGGGTGTCGGTGCTTGTCGACCTGCGGCCGCGACTGGGGCGCGACGGCCACGGCGACGGCCAGATCTCCCAGGCGATCGGCACGGTGACGGTGGGCTGCCCGGCGGGCCGGCTGGAGGCGACCGAGGATCCCGGGCCCAGGATACTGTCCCTGGCGTCGGCCGCGACCGCGGATCTGCGACGCAGGGTGGATCGTGGCGAGGCGCTCCGGAGCGCGGCGGCCATGGCCGGCGGGCGGTTTGGCGACGCGGGCCCGCCTGCGACGATCGAGTTGAGCAACCAAGGGGTGTGGGAGGCGCCCGGAGCCAGGGAGGTGGCGTTGGGCCAGCGGTTCGACGGTTACGAAGGGGTAAGCGTGCTGGCGCACGGGGAGGGGGCCAGTGGGGCGCTCAGGATCGCGGCGTCGCTTGGAGAGGGCTTTGGAGCGGCTGGGTTCGAGGCGGTGCTCGATACGGTGGTGGGATATTTTAGCGCGGCCGCGGGTTAGTCGTCCCGTTAGTCATCCGGAAGATTCGCTGGGCGCTCCGCAGCTTGGGTTTGGTCGATTCTGGCGTTGTGATTCGATTCTGCGCAATTCTTATTTCGCTATCGTTTTGTTGTCATTTGTGTGTCGCCGGGCTTCTGGCAACGGCCGCCGTGCGGGAAGTTCGCATGTCGTGGGCAGGGAGAGGGACAGCAACGCCTCCTAGAACGTTAGATTCAAGGGGCTGGGCCCCAAGACACCCAAGCCAAGGGCACATGAACCAGTAGGTGGTGGTTTAGGCGCCCTGCGCGCAGAAAGACAAGCAGACAAACAGCTGTTGCAAACTGTCCACGCAAAGGCGCGCCCCGCCGCAAGAGTTGATGTCTTCCACGATCCACACACTCTCGCAGAGTCCACACCCAATGGGGAACGTCCATTCCACACGACCCACAATAACCTGATTCGAGTCGATGGGCAACCAGAGCGAGGTAGCCAAAAGCGATGGAACCGAAGGCACCACACACGCCCTCCACACACACATAGGGAAAAAAGAATGGGGGATAACCATGTCAAAAAAGGGGCCGACGCGGGGCCGCCAACCAGCCGAAGACAGACAGTTTTAGGTCCTAAGACTACCCAGAAAAGGTCCTCGTGTTCTTCAGTCCTCGTCGTCATCGTCGTCGTCCTCCTCGTCGTCGTCTTCCTCATCCGCCTCTTCCAGCCATTTGATGAAGGGCTCGATGTCCTTAAGGAACACGTTGCGTCCCTTTTGGTGGCTGCCCTTGCGGTACCTGCATCATGCGCCACATCATCATACTACATAGTATCATGTATCCATATCCACATCTGCATCCGTAGTCGTATTGTTATCATCCGCATCTGTATCCGTATCTGTATCTGTATCATTTATCATCTGCATCTGCATCCGTATCCGTATCATCATACTACGTAGTATCATCACACTACTTCGTATCAGCAGCAGTAGCAGCTGCAGCACAATTCAATTGGCTACATACATTCGTGAAGAAATGTCATGGTTGAGCCTTTGCACCTGACAGGCGATGGCGGGGCTAGATCCATGTGCCTTGTCCTGTCAGAAGCGTTTGTTTGGGTTCATGTGTCCACTCCCTCATGGACTCCCAAAGGAACAAGAAAGAACACCTTCCAGGGAAAGTAAAACACAAAGCCTACTGGTCTATTCTATTGTACCACATTGCTGAAACAGTGTGTCGCGGGACACATAGTATGCCCCATGTCATAATGTTGGAGAACGTATATGCTGTCATGCAAAGGGCAGGGAGGATTTATCGCCTGCACCCATATTTGGGACAGGGTTGGAAATAAGGATTGACATCTCCAATAGGAACTGAAAATTCAGCGTATTTCCAGTGAGCACATCCATCGTCAACGTGCCAAGCATTGCAAAATCAGTGTTGAGTACTGAACAGCATCTGTGTAGCACGAATGATTATATCCAAATTTGCCATTACATCGTTGGTACATGCATCACACATCTCAACATATGCAGTGCTTCTAATTATTGTGCATTGTCATTTCACAGAGATGTGCGTTCCCTGTTTCTGTCTCTCCCTCTTGTCTGGTGATCGACGACGCTGTTTGCCCCATTCAAGGTCAACAATGAGATTGTGGGCGCACCCTGTTCCCCTGCTCAATAATACATTCTTTGCATGTATCTTCTATACAGCATATCTATTAAAGAACATCGTCTCACATCTGCCCACAGTACTCTGCACTCACCAATAAAGAATTGTGTCCTCCTTCACGATGGATGCATCATACAGGATGCGCACGATGTCCGAGAATATCTTCAGCAGGCGGCTGTCCTCGTAGCAGTACACCTGCCAAGGGAACACTTCAGAAAACACTGCCTCCATCTGGACATCCACCCGCTGGTGATACAACAGTGATGCCACACACTGTACTATACTTGTACAAGTGTACAAATGTGAGCTACAAAGTAGTGTCATAAACAAATTCCCTTTTACGCTTGCCCAAAATGGCGCCATGCAGAGCAACCTTGCAGCAATGCCCGGAAAGGAGGATTCAGGCAGGCGCTGTGATAAAAACATAACACTCATGTGGAGACGATGTGTTTACATGGCAGGCCATGTGTTGACTATGTGTAAAATTAGACAATGAGCGATCCACCTGTGAACTGACCATGTGGGTGTACAATGCAACCTAGAGTGTACAGATGGAATGAGTTTCAAACTTGAAGCATGGAACAGGGAATCATGGGTGTTGCATTTTGGACATTCTGGGTGAGTTGATGCATTGGGACTCACCCAACACGGACCTCCACGGACACATCTGTGCAAAATGGACCTGACATGGATTCAGAAATCCCATAGATTACACTCGTCAGGAAGGCGTGGCAAACAATCCCTTGCAAGTTGCAGGTTGACATGGCCTTGCGTCATGGTTTCAAGGCCACCGGCTTTCCCAATTACTGAAAACTTACTCATGTGTATATTCATGAAGTGCCACACAGACGCCCCCATGTCGTGTACAACCAAGATTACCTGCCAGCAGCAGCTGCAAATGGTTCGTGTCAAATCAGCAAATTGAATACTTCCATTTCCGCAGGTTACCATATCCGCTCTGAATTTGATTCCAGCTTTCTTTTCCTTTCATTTGCACCACACGATTTCTGTCTGCTCCTTCATTTGGCCGTTCAAAAGATGGCCATCAAGTGATCAACATGCTGCTCCCCAGCAGCTGGTGAGTTTCTTTTCCTTTCACTTGGTAAACACAAATTTCTGTCAGTCTCTTGATTTGGCCATTCAGGGCCCATCCACAGCCTGTTTGCCAGCACCTGAACAGTGACGAGCAGGGAAGCCTCTACACGAGCGGTGGTGCAGTACACCGCCAGCAGCTTCTTGTGGGTGCGGATCTGTCTTGCCAGGGCCTGGGCGATCTGCTGCTGGTTCTTGCCTGTCATGTTCACAGCGCCAATGAGCACTGCCCACAGGACCTGTGTAACAATGCAGCACAAAATGAGGGATTGTGGTCACCTGGAGGCTGCACTGCAGCCATGCATTCTTGCATTCAGCAGGTGCTCATCATTCAGTTTGCTGGACAACAACCAAGGATCCAACATCATGGTGGCCATGACATGGCTCGGCAGTACTGTTGAAAAGTACTGTAGTACTACAATGCACTGAAGGGCTATGTCAAAACTACACAATACATCCATAATACTACAACTACAGCTGCAATACAAACTGCAAAGCTACAAGTCACTGCACAGAGCAACATATTCATTTACTAGGGGGAGGGGCAAAGCAGCTCAAAGCTGAAATAACCAAGTTAACTCAAACATCCTTCGGACAAAAGTGTACAGTACCAACTGCTTACGTTACTCAGTGCTTGTAGTACCATATTTACCCGGTATTAGTAGGCGTATATTGGACCACCAAAATGAGTGGTGGATACTAATAGTGGGTCATGGATACTAAAGCAGTTTAGTCCCCTTATCCAAGGAGTAGACAAAGAAACTTTTTGGAAAACAGGCCACGAAATGCCCCAAAATGGGCTTGAAACCATGCAAGATGTAGCGCATATGTAGCAACATCACCAAGTCCAAGTTACAAAATCACAAACACCACACTCCTGTCAGTGAAAATGCTATACTGAAAGTTGTCAGCCTCTTCACGCAGCCGGCAGCTTGGACTTGGGGCTGCACCAAGTGGGGACGACTGGCGATTTGGTCTAACAGGGGTTCGCTGGAATGCTCCAGGTGCGTTTTCCTCTGCATTGTGAAGAACAAGGACAACACACCAGGGCGCTACACCATGCTGACAGGCTTGGCCCTTGGCGTTTTCCCAAGCTGATGCTCGCTGGGATGGCTGATGGGGTCTATGATTGGGTTTGTGGCTTGTTAGCCAGTGTGGTGTGCGAATTGGGGACGGGCCCTGCCTTTGCGGCGTTTTTCAGGCATTTCAGGGAGGTGGGGCCTCAAAACAGCGGTCGCCCCAACCAGCGCCTTCGCCTGGCCATTCCCGGTGCTGGGCCTTGGGACGCCCTCGGTGGGCGCCACTCAAGAATGCACTCTGGCCAGCAAGGGGGCCAGCAGGTTGACAAAATCCAGAAACCAGGGCACCTTGATTCTTGGATCAAGCCTCACAGCGTCGGTCGCTGCCCAGCGATCTTGCGCTCAAAGCCCAATGGCAGCTGGTCGACCTCGCAAGCTTTCGCAGGCCTCGCTCCAAATTCTCCCTTGACCACAGCCACCCTGACCCAATGGTCCACGTCGATGCGCGAATCGCTGGGAATGCGGTTTGGCCCAGACGGGCAATGCGGCTAAACACCAGCCGCTGACAACCCTTGCCACAATCAATGCCTTCACTCGTTTCTGTTGAGGTTGGGGGGTGGATGCTAACACCGGGTCCTGGATGCTAACTTGGTTTCGACCCCCAAAGAGGGGGGTGGATATTAATACCGGGTCAATACTGTAGTACATGTACAATACATGGTGGTCTCCACTCGGTGCTTGCAACATAACACACACACAATGCCCAGCATTGCAATCTTTCTGGCCTGCAAGGATAATCTCACTCAATATTGGAAGAAGAAACACAGGAGAAAGCAAACAACCAAAAAATTAGCAAAAATTGAATGGATTGAGTGCCTCTACAGGGAGTTAATGGCACACCTTGAGTACATCAGCGGGTGGGAGCTCTCCCTCATCCACCTGCCCCTTCACATACTCCAGCAACTCTGCAGGCTCATACTCATCCATCTTGGAGGACAGGCCCTCCTTCAGCTCACCCAGCTTCAGGTCGATGACCTTCTTCCTGTGCCATTCCACCAAGCCCTCCAGGCCACACGCCTGGACCACCAGCAGAATAACAAAAGCATCAATGCTATGCAGCATTATGGAAATACAAAACAGACTCAAGGGTCCACTTGCTTTGCCAGCACTGCCTGTAGACAGGAATCAGCCTGACATTGCCCAAACAGCCGTTTGAGCAAATACACCACACCTCGGAGCTACACTGGTTGGAGCTCCAATGCTTATCATTACATTGCACATCTGGTAATTACCATGCTCTGATAGGCATTACTCTGTCACATTCTGCTATGCCAATAGAAGCATACACAAGAAAGCTGGGTTCCTGTGAGGAAATACCCATTAATTACTGGCTGCTAGCCTGCAGGCAGGTTGGGAGTCCAGCAGGGTCAGGATCATTAGGCAAAGTTGGACACTCTTGGCAGAATGGACAACAAATGATCATATGGGGGTCCCCGTGCTGATCAAAACCTAAGTAAAACTCTCTGCTGGACTGCAGCAGAAGGTGCCAAGCATATCCAAGTGTGCAGGAAGTGGTGTGTGAAGCTGGCATCCATGGAATGGCAGGCAAGCAGGTGAGCCAAATAGAAATCTGGCGCAGACAGCACATTGAACTCGCCATTGCCCATCGATTGGCTTCTTAACTTCTTCCAGTTGTTAGATGGTACTAATATGCACGATCTCGACACATGCCTGCTTCCAGATGCGCACAGATGTACAGAAATGGACACAAGCATGCATGATCCTTTTGCCTGCAAGCCATATGATGCAACATATGTGTGCAGAGTGCACCAGGATCCCTTCCCGACCAGCATATTCGCACTCACAAGCTGAAAATCAGCAGTTTGTGCAGCTAAATGTAGTCAAGGCAATAAGGCAATGGCATACTTTGAGAAACAAACCGGTCCCTACACAATATGCGGAGGAGGGTGCATCTTCAAGCTACCCACCCCCTTGGAACATGGGTTGTCTGCAGGCCCAACAATACATGGAGGGTTTGGACATGCCTACACACAATACTTGTATACCTTCTATTTAGCAAACTGATCACTGAAGTGGCACATGACTTGGAATTATGACACTTCATGCAGAGAAGCACAGCACCATCAGCTATCCTCCAGCTAATATACCCTCCAGCAAAATGCTGTGCTGGCACATCACTTCGTCAACACAGTCAGTAGAACATGTCTGTTACATCAGTTTCAACGCCCCTTCAGGCTGTACATCACATCGACCTATCACCAATTCAGGACTGCTATAAGGCAGTACATTACAATCCAGCTGGCTGGCTGTGGCTCACCGTAAAATGCTGGCCAAACTCCTTGATGGTACGCGTCTGCGGCGGCATTAGGTCCAACAGGCGGTTTGCCAGCTTTGCTTTTGTCAGCACGCTCACCAGGTCATCCAAGGTGTGCTCAGACAAGTACTCCTGTGGCAGATGTGCACCATCTTGACATCAGCTTTGGCCATACGTTTCACGAGGGGAAGTCGATGCAGCAACTGGGACATGACTATCTTCAGCTGGAACTAATGTTCAAGCATTCGGATAAATTGTCAACAGCATTTCACAATTCCAAGCAGCCATATGGTACAGACTCTGGGGCCTTTTTGTGCTGCACCTGGGAGATCATGGCATGGTATTTTAGCTTCCATAGAGCATAATTTCATTCCTGAGAGCTCCAAACACTCCTGCCTTGTAAGCTTCTTCTTGCAAGGTTTCTTATCTGTTGCACCTGCTTTCTGCCCAACAGGTTCTTTCATCACCTTGCAAGACGCTTAGTGTGTGATATGCCCAATCTTCTGGAACATTCAGGCAAGGTGGACCACTTGCAAGTGGAAATAGCATGCCTTTTTGTGAGTTACCAGGTGTTAAACCGCTGATATAAGTCACAGTGACCATACTGCAAAATAGTCCCTTCCATCAGAAGACCTCAACTGTGCTCAACTTTGTGGCTTTGGCAGCTTGATTGCTGCCAGTCGCAGAATTGGAGGGACGCATAGCAAGCAATCAACCACACCTTGAAAAAGGCGGTCGAGAATTCCAGCACAGTCCCCTTTTGCACGAGCCGGTCGTTCAGCAGTGCAGTGAGGGTGTTGTCTGGGAGCAACCCCAGCTTGATCTCCGGTGAGAACATCAGGGATGTGGCTGCAAGCACAGGGACCAATGATAAGCAGGAGGTACACGTTCTGTGATAAACTGACTGGGTAGACAGCCAGCAAACGATACCATGGACACCACAGGTGATGCAGATTCTCCAGAAGGTGCAAGGCATACCACCGACGAACGATCGGATTATGAGCTGCAGGCCACCCTGCATCGCCCGTGTCTATTGCCCACTGCCTATAGCAGAGACGCTGGCATGTGAAATCTCCAACAACTCTTGACAAGCTCACCAGCAACGCACTACTACTCAGTGTTGAGTGCTGCACCCATTCTCTCGAGACAGAACTTGCTGCTGAGCTGCAAAACTGCAGAGTCAGAGTCCATCTGCCCATTCGGTTCCTGATGCACAAGCTTACAATCAGATTGTGTACTGCAGATTGTGTACTGCAGATTGTGTATTGCGGATTCTGCACTAGTGAAGCCGGCCACCACACCACACCAAAAGCATAAACTGTCAGAACATGTAGAAAGTACATAAAAATACAGAAAGCATATTGGTGGGGCCACCCACCAATGGCTAGCTTCTTCCTCCCTTCTTCATCGAAGAACTCCAATGACTTGAGGAGCTTCACAGCGATCCTCTCCAGGCTGCGTATCAGGAAGGGTCGTCGCCTGCATGATAGGGCAAAGATGTTACCAGTAGCATGAAATTGTCACCACCTAATGTACTGCTGTGCTATGTGGTCTGGTACAAACCCAGAAGCAGCCATGCTGCTGACACCAGGACACTGTGTGACATCCAGTACCTACAACCCTTATGCCACAATTTCCATACACTGCCTGCTTCACACCACACCACATATAAGAACCCAAGCCATTGCACAAAAAGGCACTGGCACACAGAGAAATGCCCAAGCAATCTCTGTTGGCTCCACCATCAGCATCCAGTACATTAACACCCCAACTGATCAGGGAAGCTATTTGAGGACATCCGGTAGCCTTCCAGTTCTCCCCAACATGCTTTGTCCTGAGGCTGGCTGGCCAGGTCCACCGCAAGGGAGGGTGGAAATCTCCCAAAACAATGGAGGCAGTCAGAGGCATGAAACTTCCAGGTGCTGAAACGTCAATAATCTGATTAACGACAACAACACTGAAGGCATTGGCTGTCCAGTGCTGAGCCAGGTTGCTGCTGCAATTGGTTGACGGTATTTCAATGGTAGAATGTGAGTGAGACAGCCTGCTGTCAGAGTTTAGGCACGTACCAGGTGCCCAGTGACCACCGTTGCCAAAAGCAACGATGCCTCCATAGACAGATTTTAGTCATTAACATGCACAGCGTTCTGTGGATAGCAAGCCTGTTGTGGGTTAGGGCATATACATCCTTTGCAATGTGAGAGGGAAATCTATTGCACTTTAACGACAAACACAGAGTAAGTAGCAAAAGTGACTGACATCACTTTACTAGGCACTTTGGGCATTAATACATATATGCACTTGGTCTTGGCAAGTGCTTTGGGAGGAAGTGCTCAGCCCTGTGACAGCAAATGCAGTCAACAGTTGACTTGCAAGGGCCACCACCACAGCACAGTGCCAAAGGGAAGGTCCAAGAATAAAGGAGACAGAAATCCACATACACCACAAGGGATGATCACGTGACAAGCAAAACCTGTTAGACAGGAGTGGAAAAACACCACCGAACATATTGCCAGGTATATGTTGAGCTAAGGGCTGGGAATGTACTGACTCACTAAGTCTTCTTTGTCCCTTTGATTCTGGTGCTGCCAACTCAGCCTACATGACTTGATCTTGCACATGCCTCAACCATGTGCATGAACGACCCACAAAGTACTCCAGCAACCCGGCTCGTAGCCAGGGCAGCCAGAACAGCATACAGAAGAGCCAAGTACATGCACACAGTGCCATAAAACAGAGAGCCTCGATTCCAATACAGGGTTGACTTGATAGCTAAAGGATCAGTGGAGGCGCTCCCTGGCTTGAACTATCTGACGCTGGCCCGTTCGTCCAGACAAAGATAACTGTTAAGACTCACAACTCACCTAATCACAGATGCACCAAACCAAAAGCTAACCAACCAAGACAGTCGCATTGACACAGGCAGCCAAGTGCAGGGCTAAAATCGACAGGAATGTATCTGACCATCCCTTACGCCCCTTCAGCAGCCAGTCCAAGCAAATGCTCACCTAACCAGTGTCTGGAACATCTTGATGTAAGGGTAGATGGCCTCCCGCTCGGCCGCAGCTGCAAAGAGCTAGGCACACACAGCACCAATTTTGCACTTCAGAGTGGGGAAAGCACAGACATGGTGCGTGTGCACACACCATCTTCGCATGCAACGTGCTCTTATTGCCACAGGAAGTGCCCTAATCACACCACAATTTGCCTTGAGCATGAATCAACGTGGGCGGCGCCAGTAGCAGGGCTGTGCGAGGCAGGGACGCTGGGGTTGATGGCAATCCGCCAGGGCTAAGATGGGCAGCATGTTGGAGGCTCGATTGCCAGCTGCCGCGGTCGGCGGCCGGGCAATCGCGGAGGTATGGACCCAAGGCGACAGGGCGTGCGCCCAGGCGCCCTCCGGCCGACCGACAACACCCGCAGCGGCCTTCCCTCGCGCACCCGGCGGCGCCCGATCGGCTTCGAACCCCGAGATGGCCCGCCCGTGCACCAAGGGGAAAAACTTGACAGAATCGGCATCACGGATCCATGAAGCCGCTCGACAGCAGCGCCAATGCGTTGTTCCGCATCGCGATGAATCCCAACCCGGGCGCACGGCCGTGGGCGCTGCGACACGCCAAGACTCGACCCGATCGATCGCATCCCCCCCAGCGTGGACGGCCACTCACGTGGGCGTTGAACTTCTCTCCGGCGTCCTGCGCCAGCGAGGCGCCGGCCGCCATGCGGCCCCCCGCGAAGAGCACCTCGAACAGTGTGTCGCCATATCTGTTGAAGTTGAGGTCGGACGTCTCCAGGACCTTGACGCCGGCGTCCAGGTGCTCCTGCACGCTGCAGCCCTCCTTCCACGCCTCGCCGAAGATGCGGATCACCTCATTGGCGAACGCCCCGGGGTCCAAGGGCACCGCTATATTCCGCTTCCGGGTCTTGTGGTGCACGCCACTGTCGTTCGGCATCCGATCCCAAAAAGTTGGCGGAGTCAGCACGCGGGCAAGCGCGGCCAGGCCCAAGCGCCAGCGAACGGGCAGGTAGGTTATCAAAGGGAAAGCTCAGGGAGCAAACATGAGCGGGAAAATGCGCAAAGTGGAGGATCTCGCGGCCCCGCATGGGCAAGAGCATATCGGGTGAGGCACTCTCGGAGGGGTGCCCGGGTGGCGGCCGGGTGTGGGGAATCGATGAGCAGAGATGAGGGCAAGGAGAGGGGAGGGGTGGGGGGTGGCGGGGGTAATTGGCGGGGCGATGGCGCGGCGAAAACTCACGCGAGTGTCGGCTTCTCCTCTTTACCGCTGTGGGCGATCAGTGGCGGGGGTGGCGGGGCAGGCACACGCACACGGCAGCCGTCAGGACCTTGGCGGACGGATGGCTCGGGCAGATTGCTGGCGGGGGGCAGGGGGTCCCCGGGGCGGTACCTCATAAACCTCTGCCGGCCTGGGACGACGGTAGGGGCTCTTGGGCGTGGGGTTTGGGGGCGGGGGCGGGTGGGAGAGCAGAGGGGCGAGCACAGCACTATACACTGAGGCAGTCCGTTTCTCGGCGGAATGACGCACAGCCGGCGGCCCCGCGAGAATATGTTGCTCCGCCTGTGGGGCGGTGGTTTGGGACTAGTACATTGGTGCGGCACTGCGGCTGGGCGGGCGCTGGCTCGGGCTCCTGGCTGACTCAATGTGGGGATGGAACGTTGGAATGGTACATGTTCGGAATGTTTGCCCATTATGTTGTACGGGGCACCTTCATTTTCTTGGACCTGTCATGTCGGTATTCCCATAGAGGAGGCATTAGGCCAGGCTGAGCTACACGAATTGGATGGTGCTGATCTTGTTCCCAACGTGGTTGTGGTGCTTTGGACGATGATGGTACGATTGTCCATCTTACTTATTGGGAACTGGACGTGGGACTATTTGCAACTCTGTTGGCACCGAACCTGTTGGACCCGGGCCTTGGGGCTCTGATTGTCTCCACACTCCGGTCACAATTTGGTTGTGAGTAAGTCCCGAACACCCGCATCTTCCATAGTTGGCGCATGCGACAGGACACCCGGTGTTGCTGCATGGTGGGGCTGGGAAGGGAGGCGTTGAGGTATTGCTATCAATTAGGATGCGGTCTGGAAACGCTTTCCTCAGCCAGCTCTGCAGTTGGGGGCACTTTGGGGCCGGTGGACGGGAGGGGACGGGCAAGTGGCGTGACCTGCGAGTTACACGCAACACATGTGTGACGGGCGTACCACAAGTGAAGGCATGTTGGGCGTATTGCATATGTTTGAAGTGCAAAGTGTGCTTGAGTGTTGCTTCGCATAACGGACGTATTGTGCATTGGAACTCGTGGTGGTGAACAACCATACATGGTGTTTTGCTTGATGGGGAAATTGCGGGAAGTGTCTAATAGCGAACGGAGGGGGTGTGGGGGCGTCCTGCTTGTGCATGCAAGAATACAATGGGGAAATGGAAGATACCCAGCTCTAGCTCTGCAATGTGGTTCACGTTGGACGGGCGAATGGGTGGAGTGAGGCAGTGCAGCTTAGGCAGGCCGAGGCCTCGCTGGTGTGTGCCGCGGAACTGTGGTTACCACAGTGTGGTATGAAAATATTGCCAGTGATGGATACAAAAAGTAGGCTGAATTTCATAATACAATATGAACGCATTTCCAAGAGGACCATTTTAGTGAATGATGCAACCATCAATGATGAATATCCTCTACCCAATATTAGCCAGCTCGTGGATGAGTTAGCAAGCTTTGAATATTATTATGTATTCAATGGTTTTTCCTGCTACTACTCCATTCAAATAGTTGAAGCATCAACTCCCCTCATGCACTTTTGATGCCTAAGGGAGTTGCTTCCTAGACTGTTATGCCCTTTGGAGTAAAGAATGCATTACTTGCGTACATGAGGGTGGTAGACCAAGCGACAAAAGGCTTAGTGAATCTAACCTAGATTCAGTCCCTAAGGGACGCTTGTTGATGATACCGCACAGGGTTCTCAATTACAGTGGGCAATTCTAGGTAATGTGAGGGCAGTTTTGGATCATATTTATGCTGCAAAATTGAAGTTGAAACCCCATAGATGTAGAGTGGGGTACAAAGCTATCGACTTCGTAGACCACATGTTGAGTAGTTGTGCATTTCTATGTAGTGTGATGAATCTAGCATATTTTGGACATGGCTGTGCCAAGTGATAAAACTGGCATGCATGCATTTTCAAGCATGGCAGGGTATCACCACCGCTTCATGTGAGGATTTGCTGATGTGGCAAAGCCGTTGAATGCTATACTTACTACGAAATCTGTTTTTAAGTGGGGCCCTACGGAGCAACTGAGTTTCGAAGAGTTGAAGTGGGCAATGGCAACAAGACTTGTATTGAAACAACCTGACTTCAAAGTTGCACAGTCTAGAGCTTCACCCTTTTTGATGGATTATGATGCATCTGATTATGCACTTGGAAGAGTTCTGTCACAAGTGGATGCAAGCAGCAAAGAAAGGCTGATTTACTTTCATAATCGCAAATTCTCTCCCACCAAACTGAATTATGTGATGACGGAGAAAGAGGTATTGGCGGTTGTTTTGTCCATGCAAAGGTTTGGCTCTATATTTTGGGCTGCAAAATTATCATGCACATGGACCACTCGGTTTTGGCATTTATGCTAAGGCCCGAAAAGCTGATAGGGAGAATGGCCCATTGGGCTTGTATTGGTAACTCGTCTGGGGAAAATGCATGCCAATGCGAAGAAGGGTTGAGTCAGTGTTTGCCACCCGATTCCTTGACTAAACCATTGGATGCGATCGAAGATGATGAGCCAAAAGTGTTTTCACTAATGGCATCAGGGAAGCATGATGTGGGTGCCGATATCAACAAGCTATCAACAGTGGTGGCGCGCCTTTCAACTGATTACTCAGCCGATGAAAGTCACCCCGACATCATGAAGGTTTTGAGGAATGATATAACAAATGATGGCATGGTGCACAATGGATGTCTTCATAAACACCACCAATCAGTCAGATGTTTTGATGATGGTATAGACAAAGTGTGTGTTGTTGTTGGAGATATTGAATGGGTACTAAAAGTGGCATATGGAACGCATGCAAGTGGTCATTTTGGTGTGCGTGGTATAGTGTCGCATTTGGGGGAGCTATTTTGGTGGCCCCCTATGCAAATTTCTGTGATTAGAGGTGGCCCCTCCTGTCCGTCCACAACAGAATTTGGTTGGCTCCGTTAAAATTTTGTACATTCAATGGAATCCGTGAGCAGGCCATAGAGAGAAAAAGTGTTTTACAGAAATGGGCGGGGCCATACTGACATCAGCATAGATGGCCATAGAGATCCACACAGCCTTCTAGAATGGAACCATGTGTTACGGAATCCACACCGCCATCTACGGATGACAAGCCCCCATAACAGAACCGTTGACTGGACCACGGATGTCGAACTAACTTTTGTGCAATATGTCAGTAAGGGGGTCACGGAAAACAACAGAACATGCATCCTCTTCTCTTTTTGTGCACTCAGAAATGGCAATGTTGTGCACAAATTTCTTTGTTTTCTGACAGCCAATCTTGAGCACAACCGTTTTGCCCAAAAAAACACATAATTGCGATGTTGCTCACAAGTGCAGCCTTTCGGACCTTACCGACATTTTGCACGAAAGGCTATTATTGACAGAATTCCATCAAAGTTTACGGAGCAACACAGACCTATCAAACGTACGAAACCCCAGTACAGAAATTCCAACACTGTTCCATTGAAATTCTGTAAGACGGGCAATCCCAAAAGCCTCCACTTTGGCAAAGGTGATGGATAACAGCTACAAAGCAGGTCCTGTTCCCGGACCGGACAGTCAAACGCCTGGTTGAGTGCGCAACGGGTATGCATGGCGGACGTGGGGTGCGATTGCCTGGGTCTTTGATGGATTTGGTAGCGCATACTGCTCACCCCCATGGCACATCTATGTACCCCTTCAAATCGTTGTTGTCCGTCACGCAGGCAAAATGTACGCCCAAAGTGTTCTCAAACCCAATACATTTGATTGGTTGGCATATGATCATCACATTGTGATGTGACACCCCTGGGGTATGTGAAGTGTTGCGTCAGGGCCACCCGCCGCCAATTGCCCCCATGGCGTCGGTACCCTCAGGTGAGTGGGATGCCGCCGGCACCATGCCGGTGGTGATGGCATCGGTGGGGCAGGGGGAGTGTTGTTCTATTTGGCTAGAGTACCAGCCGCGGCTTGGCCGGGAAAAAGCCACTGTTGCTGGGCTCGTGGTGTGCATGGGTGGTTGTTGCTTCTCCGAGATTATGTCGGGTTGGGGCGGGGGGATTGTTGTTTTGCTCAGCTAAAGTACCGGCCGCTGCTTGGCTGGAAAGGGTTGTTGTTTTGTGAAGGCGCTGGGATGGGCGTTTGGTAATGTGGTCTATTTTCTCCAATGCAGGCTCCGGCCGTGAGCCTGCCACACCAGGGGGATAATGTAGGTGAAAGGGGGGTGAAATGGGCAACTGCGGCTTCTCCAAGATCGTGTTGGGGTGGGGTTGGGGGGGGGGAATACTGCTCTGCTCGGCTGGAGTACTGGCCGCGGCTTGGCTGGGAAAGAGCCACTGTTACTGGGCTCGTGGTGTGCATGGGTGGTTGTTGCTTCTCCGAGATTATGTCGGGTTGGGGCGGGGGGATTGCTGTTCTGCTCAGCTGGAGTACCAACCGTGACCTGGCCAGGAAAAAGCCACTGCTGTTGGGCTCATGGTGTGTATGGGTGGCTGCTGCTTGTCCGAGATCATGCCAGGGTGGGGTGCGGCGGGGCGGGGCAGGGCGGGGGGATTGCTGTTCTGCTCGGCTGGAGTACCGGCCCTGGCCTGGCCAGGAAAAAGTTGTTGTTGCCGGGCTCGCAGCGTGTATGGGTGGCTGCTACTTCTCCGAGATCGTGTCGGGGTGGGGCGGGGGGATTGCTATTGTGCTCGGCTGGAGTACCGGCCGCTACTTGGCCGAGAAAGAGCTATTGTTTTGTGAAGGAAAAAGAAGCATAGAAGGAGCATGGGAGCATGCACCAGGATATAGAGGCATCAAACTGAGCACAGAAAGTCATCAAAGACCACATCAAAGTCCAAGGCATCAGATGACAAACCATGACGAATTTTGTTTTAGTTGTTGTGAGTGAACATGTGCATTTGGCAAAGGATTACTAGCCATTCATTACCGCAGTAAGTATCGGCCGTGGGTTGGCCGGGAAAACGCAGCAGGGGATTGCCTTTGGGCCCAGGGTGTGTTTATGTACGCAATCTAGCATTTGCAAGGGATGGCCGGGAAAG